GGAAGGACATATCCTCCTGCACAAAACCAATGTAGGAAAATGCTCGCCAGTCTTTACAAGAGCGAAAAGGGAAATGTCCGGCGACACAAACCGTCAAACAGGGAAATGTAATTGTGTAAAATAACGCTTAGGGAATTGCCCGCAAAGAGTAGTAGTGCCTTCGACATTGTTACAATGAATACGGTTCAAGAGCAGTATGGGTAATGTCCGGGGGTGGGGGGGAGATGCCCAACTTCTGTCTTATCGACCTCCCTATCTATCTGCCTGTCTGTTTATTAATCTACATATCTATTTTATTAACTAGCGAAAGCTATTGAAAGCTGCAGACCGGAGGATTTCCGCCAAAACGACTTCAGGAACATGACGTCTAATCTCAGAGATTCAGCATCCAACTCTTTCCTTAAGAGACGATAACATATAACGGCCCTATCACACTAGCACTCTGTATGGAAATCATGTAAACAAACATGGCGCTATCGGAGTGAGGTCCCGGGAATCACACGAGCATTCTCATACATATTACGTTATTTTAAAGAAATATGATGATGTATATTGTATATACGAATGTTCTAAAATATTAGCTTATATTTACATTCACTCATCCTATCTAAATTTATTAACATCACAAGATCAACACGGAAATTAATCAGGTGGAAACGGTCATAACCGTCTTGGTCTGGGAGGCGTTTGTAGACGATCCTTGCGGAAAGCCTCAAATTCAGACGGAACCCCAGCAATTGACGGATAAAGTGCTAGTGTGACAGGGCCTTTAGACATAGAAGGTTGCCGTCGGTGAAACTAGGGGGCGCCAACATGCATGAACTTGCCTTAGCGTACTCTTTGGCTATAATTTGGAAAGTCAAGGTTTCCGGATGAAAGAAACGATGGAATATCGAGGTTTCCATTAATTCTGTGTTTTTTTCGTTCTCACAGCAATGAAGCAACTTAATAAAACACACATACATAATTGAATAGGTATATCTGCTATCATTCAGTCTATTACGATTTTTATGTTACCTTTTGCCTACATCAGATTTTTTAAACGTTATTTTCAAATAATATTAGTTATCTGATTCCTTGTCTACCAACAAAGCTATAATGTAATGTAGCTGTAATGAACATTTCAATATTCATATCCACCTCTAATGATAACGGATTTCTGTTGTTTTATATTACAAATTCCAGAACCCCGGATTTCTGGGTTGGTTTTCCACATCCACGATTAAAGAAGCTGCCGGATTTTTGAAGGTAAAATAGTAAATGTCTAAAAGACGTCTTTGATGTTATTACGACTATCATTTTTTATTTTAATATCTAGTTAGAGCTTGCAAGCCATATATTCTCAATCTATCGCATTAAATGTTATAATTCATAAATGGTATTATTTTCGTCATGTGTTTAGATCGAGTCTAATTATCAAATCTCATGAAACTTAAGTCTGGTTACAACTGCACGTAAATCCAGAGTGTGATTTGCTCAGCCTTCCATCGCCTATTCTGCACAAACACATGTGCTCGTAACAAATCGCTGTTGCATATACATGCCTCGTTATCACACACACATACACGCAGACACATATATATGTATATATACAAACACACACACAGAAGGAGACTATCACATGATTATAATATGGTTATCTAAATGGATGAAATATCAACGTCTACAGCTGCTGACACGGCGCGACGATAAGACGCAGGAAAGAAAAAAATCACACACACATGCATACATACATACATATATATATATATATATATATATATATATATATATATATATATATATATATATATATATATACATATATATATATATATATATATATATGTATATATGTATCGCACACACACACACAAACACGCTCACTCTGTCTCTTTCTCTCTCTTTACACTCTCTACTTTACAGTACACCAAAGTACTCTTGCACTCTACATCTGTCTAAAAGTGGACACTATACCGAATTAAACTGAAAAGGTGATAATGGGACGAAGCTTGTCTCCTGCCTGAACTTCCTGTTGGGAACAGATAAGCGTTATCGTTGGCGTCGAACAAAAAGACTCGTATTGTATTCAGTTCTTGTGACTCGCTGTGCACACATCACTGGGTCTCGTGAAGCTTGTTCATTCATTAGTCAGTCGCGCTTTATATATCATTAAGTGATTTTCCTCCTCTCGGTTCATTTCTTTTATTCGTTTATTCACTTATTCATTCATTCGTTCACTTTTTCTCGGCAAAGAACGAGTTATGGACGCGGCCTTTTGTTGCAACTACCTAAAGCGATTTCTCAGAGGTAAATACCCTTATGATATTCTGTCTCATTTGATTCAGGTTTTGAATATGAACCTTTTGATCGTATTCTCTATCACTGTGTTGCGTATCTAGTGGCGTTCACAAGTGTCTGAATAATTTCCTGGCAGCTTGCATCCGGTTTCTGTTTTATCTTTTACAGCAAATGACGTTGAAAGATGATGTGAATTTTGAATTTAGGGGTTTGCATTTGT